AGCTATAATGATACCGTTACGGAGCAAAAACTGAAATGGTCAACAACAATATAAAAAAAAAACAATCTAACATAAGAGGGAGAAAGAGATTTCATTCTTTATGGTGAAAGAATGATCGAGAAGATGAAATTTAAATTGATTAGCAAAGTTTTTCATTGAATTCAAAGAAAATGTTCTCGTCGTCATTTATTTTCATATGCCTTTTACTCGTATATTCGAAATATTTTTTTCTATAATATTTCTAAGAAACTCTCGTGAGAAATTATTTTTCAAAAGTTTAATCAATGACCCTGGACATGCGCATGCATATGTAAATAATAATATAATAAATCAAGGAAAATCTAAGATATAAGAAGGAAGAAAAATAATAATGTCTGACTGTTGGTCGATTAATGATGTATTAGACATGAACGGGTAAAAGAATAAATACGAGAAAAAAAACCAAAAAGAATAGAAAGGAAGAGTACACAGGGCGAATTAAAAACGTGGAATCAATTTTCCGTGCCGATCTTAACCGAGTATAATTAAAAGTATCAAAGGTCGATGTGCTCCAAATCCTTCTTTCTCTTTCTCTGAGAAAGCTCGAAATTTTTATTTCCAAAGATGAAACGGTTGCATTTTCTCAGATGATGCTACGAGTCTTTTCATGCGAGTCTCTTAAGTACGCGAGTTGTATTCCTTGACACACTTAAAATTACTCGATTAAATCTACGAAGAGCAACATTAATGTTCTCTCTCACTCTCAAATTGATTTCTCACGTTTCCTATTCATCAAATTTTTATGCGTAATCATTAATAAGAAAAACATTTTAAGAACAAAAGTGTAGTGCATCAGTGGCTCCTGCAAGAAACAACAAGAAAAGCGACAAGGTTGGGCAATCACTAACTGAGATAAAAAAAAAAAACAAGAAAAGCAGAGGGAGAGGAAAAATGTAGCAGGGATGGTGGTTTGCGAAGCGAAACGAAGCGAAACCTTTCGACGAGACATATACTGCAAGTATGTTCTTCTTTTTCCTCTTGTTTCTTTTTTTTTTTTTGATCTACCCTTCCTCCTCTCACGTACCTTTCTAAATGTCTTCAAGGCGTCACCACTTTGTCACCTTTTGCTTTATTATATCTATTTTTCTTTTTGACTGAAGAGAGAATATGATATAGGAGAGATATACGAAAGAACGATTTCACGTTCGGCTGACTGTAAAATTGGAACAAGAGTATTATCGGTAACTGTATAAGATGGACAACGTAACCCAACGTTTTGTCTGGTATTTGATAGCAAAAACAATGATGAAATATGAACGGACAGGTTTGTTGGTTGCAATGGTAGGGTTGTTGTTTGAGAAGAGCGTTGACAGGTTGTGCCATTTGATGTCAGATTCGAATAACCATGAAAATTTCTATTGAAAGCATTGGGGACCCACCTGATCGCTTCTTCGACTCTGAACATAAGATTCTTCGGAGTCTTCTTTTTGAGACTCTTGTACCGTCAGATAACGATCATGGGGATCGAGACGCGAGTAATCCGGTCGTTTTAAGTGTCGCTTGCTTATCTGAAAAGCCGAGTCTTCTCTATACGTGAGAAAAGATGTTTACTCGTGTCGGCGTATCATCAAAAGAACGTGATTATTATGTAGTACATACATATATCTATGTATGCACACACAGGATATTGCATGTATTTCTTCTTCAATTATACAAGTACACCCAGTTTCCTTTTACTTTTTTTACAAGACAATACTCTAGTGTTACTTTTTGTCGCGATGTTGACAACGACGACGACGACGACAACGATGATGCGTAATAAATCGAGGCCATGTAAGATTTTTATTAATATTGTAGATTTTCCAGATTATTGAATTAAATGAATAATCTTATAAGTTAATTAGTTATCACGCCTACGAATAGAATGATCTAATGGAAAGACAAGTTGTTGAAAACGATCGGACGAACACGCGATTCGATTGGTCACGCTTTACTGTGATACACGCTGTCACACGGCTCGTTTCACGCGTGAATCTATGGGCTCTTAACGATCCAGATGCTCTCAGATGACAGCTTCTTCTCTCTCTCTCTCTCTCTCTCTCTCTCTCTCTCTCTCTCTCTCTCTCTTTCTACTATCATATGTTCTCCTCCTCCTATTCGTTGTAGTTGTCGTTGTCGTTGTCGTTGTCGTTGTCGTCTACGATACACCAACACGAAAGTACAGAGAATGTTTTTTTATACGATGCCAACGAACCCTGCTCTGCACGACGTTATTCTATATATGTTTGTATGTATGTAAAAGCGACGTGTCATAGACACGTGTAACGCGGTCAACATTTTGTCGATAAAATTGGTCGAGTGGCCTCGACGAGACGCGTCGAATGCACCCGACGACTACATCGGTCCAAATTCTCAAACTCCTCTCGTTATTTTCATTATATATTCTCCTTATCAATTATTTTTTTCTATAAATAAACATTATATTATATATGTTATAAACCATGGAAGAGAACTATACTGATCTGTTAAACTATGAAATTGAAATTTGATTCGTAGATTAGATAGATATTAGATCCAATAAAACAATAAAATATTTCGAAACAATATTTCGGTAATGAGATCAAAATGTATATGTGTAATTATACAAAGTTTTGATAAATTTTTAATTATAAAATTCGGAAAAGTATTTCAAAAATTCCATATATGATATGCACACGCATAAATCGTATTATTAATCGTATATGTGTGTTAATTAAGATATAGCTTACGCATTCATTTTTATAAGATTAGTGTTAAAATTCCGAAAAATTGGCCAATAATCGTGAAGGATGTTGCTTCGATCGATGTTCGAACGTTAATGCTGTTTTGTAAATACTCGATCATCTTTCATACGTCACTTCTTCGAATTAATGACAATAAATAACTTTCGTCAAAAGTTTAGATTGTTTATTTACTCTTAGTAAGAACGTTAGTCGGTTGATGTTTTCCGTATTATTAAGATACGTTTCTCGTTGCATAGTTAATTTTAGAAATAATATCACGCGTCGAGGAATTTCTTTTTAATATTTCAAATATGCTTATGTATGCATATGCATGTTAAATATGAAATGTTTTCAATAAAATAAACATATGTACAGTACGATCATAAAAATATTTTTATAACATTTTCCCTAAAACGTCTAGTTATTTTGTCTAAGACCTAGGTTTTTCATGAATTGACTGAATTATATATTGTAATGATAGCATATACAATTTAAGTAGATTTTTGTTACTTCTAACTTAAATGAAAGAAAAAATACTAAAGAAGAAAAAGGAATAGAAGAATGAAAACAATATACTAAGAAGATCGTTGCAAAGATAAAAGAGCAACCATGCTATAATTAGTAATAATTACTGAACAATAACAACACGAGAATTATATAAGAATTCTCACATTTACATCGATATATTGATTTTAATCATTACATAAAAACTTACGACAGCCTACCCGTTCACCTACACTCCATCTTCATTAACTTGGCAATATATTAATTAATTCCTGTCATAAATATTTCAATGAAAATAAAAAAAAACTATGCATAAAAATGCTAGTGAAAGGTGTTGTAAAATGATATCTTGCACATATGTACATAGATTAATACATATAAATATATATATATATATATATATATATATATTTATTCTTTTCATTCAATCTAAATGATAACGCGAACTTCGATCAACGAACTCGAGGAACAGTTATGAATGAAGAAGAAAATGTCGTCGAGATCGGTTGTTATCGTCATCGGAGGCAATCATTTTCATGAGTTTATCGAGAAGTTCTTTTCGGACTCTGGGTCGGTCGCGAGTCGTGACAACAAAAAGAGGAGGAAATATAGAGAAAGAAAGAAAGAGAGAGAGAGAGAGAGAGAGAGAGAGAGAGAGAGAGAGAGAGAGAGAGGAGAGAGAGAAACATTTGAAATATAGTGATTATAAAAATACTCTAACAATAAGTCACCAATTTTACTTATGCATTCTATTTTTTTTTGTCATATTATTCTTAAGCTTTTAAAATCACATAAGAAAGACCTATTTTTAAAATAAATAAATATATATATATATATATATATGTATTTTTCCTATTTGTCATTATACAAAACGAATTGAAAAAGAATTCTAAATATATAACTATCTTAAAACACATGTATAAATCTTTGATCATTTTTATAATCATTGGGCTCATTTGTCAGCTCCACTTTCTTTCAATCTCTTTAATTCTCTTTCATCAAACAATGCTGATCGTAAATAACTCGAGAGTACGAAAATATCCTAAACGTTTATAGAGAATCTGATATAGCTGAGTTGATCCAACTTGACTGTTTATATTCTTAGTAACTAAACAACAGAATAATCTATTAATCGGTTACTCTCTCTTCTTCTTTACTACACAAAGGATCTTTCGATTAAAACCTGAAAGAATATTACCATCGTTATTATTATTATTGCTATTATTGTTATCAATGTTTCACAATCTAAAAGAAATTGAACCAATGCAATATGTTTAACTTATAATAACAAAATTTGTTTAAAAATCTCTTCTTGCGCATTTGATCAACTAGCTATACCGTTACGTCGTTCTTCTTTCTCTCTCTTGAATTACGTTCATGGTTTATATTGTACATATACGATATTACATGTAGTAGTGGTATGGTGAAAAGGAGAAGAGATAAAAAGAAAGAAGCCGATATTGTGTACTTACTTTCTACGTGTATATACTTCTTCCTCATCGAGATAAATCCAACTCGAATAACCTTCAAATCGCGCACACTTCTACTCTAATCGCTAATATCGATCTCCTTTCAAACACACTCCCATTAATGTTTCATTTAATAACGTTAGTTAAAATTCAAGAGAAAGAACCTCTGCATTAGACGTTGGTAATGAAAACAAAATAAATGTAATAAAATTCTTGAACAAGTCAATAAAGTGCGCGAAAAATATGATATAATGCGTATGAAACGCAGGGTGCAGAAGACGCCTACCTTAGAAGGATCAGGTATCCTCCGAAGCCCGAGGCTTTCTACGATGCTCCTTCTGATAATCTCGAGCTCTTCGTCGCCGAGCACGTTCCTCGAAGAATGACCAGCACTAGTTGGCGTAGCCGTTGCCGTTGGCTCATATATCACCTCCTCCTCGTAGTTCTCTTCGAATTCGAGGAATCTCGAATAGGTTTCCACCTGCTGCTGCTGAAGCTCATAAGATGAAAATGAAGATGATGCCGGTGCTGGTACACCAAGTATAGGCTCGTACAAAACGCTCATCACGAGTAGAGCAAGGATAATACTTTTAGATAAACCTTTTGTTGGTTTCCTCAATAAAGAGGAAGATGACGACGAGGAATACGATGACGACGACGACGACGACGACGACGACGAAGACAAAGATGAAGAAGAAGAAATTTTTCTACAGTTTTCACCAACGACTAACAGTAGTTCATCCTGTTCTTTACGTTCTTTATTAGCAACACTATTATCGGAGTCTACCGTAGTACAAAACGAAAATAACGAATAAGAGGTGGTCTCGTTGTGGAACGTCTTTAGAGCATTCAAAGCACGTGGTGGTTGTCCTCGAGTACCGGATCTCACCGTAGCAGTTTCTTCGCAAACATCAAACAAGCTACTATTCACAGATGAAGAGTCGGCACAGCACGAAATGACTTTGGCGTTGTTACGGCAAGAAATTTGCCGATGATATCGTTGTTGACGTTGCTGTTGTTGCTCTTGCTTTGCCGGCTCTTCTCGGTCGTTTTCACGAGTACCACTTCGAATGATTATTGAGAGCTTGCCCATAGCCAGGAACGCGAGCTCGTGGCCTGTGTCCGGGCCTTGATCGCTCGGCTACTCTCTACAGAGAGAACTCAACGCGGTTCTACGCTCTCCTACGCGGATCTCACACTTTCCCCTTCTTTCCCCTTCTTTTTTCTCTCTTATTTCGATCGTTCTTTTAATCTAAAACGATCAAGACTGTTTCTCACCTCTTCTGAGTCTTTTGATAATTCCAGTCTATTTACTTTTATCTTTCTTTTCACCTTTTTTCTATCCGTTTTTGTTGCACACAAGGAAAACGTATATAATAATCACACACCATTCTTAAATAACGAATGCACATGAACTCGTTATAAAAAACAAATTCAACAAAACATAAGAATAAAGAAGTTAATGATGTTGCTAATTCGATCTTTAAGAGGAATTTTAAGAGGAAAAATCAATTCTTTTTTTCTTTATCTTCTTCGACGATGATAATCCTTCATAATAATTCGATCATTTATCTTGAACCCTAATTCTCGTGGCTGGCCACGAGAAGAATAGGACAAGTACAACACCGAAACGGTCATAGTTAATTAATTAAAATATAAGAAGAAAAACCAAAAAAAAAAGAAAATAATTAATGAGAGTAAACGTAAAATTCTTGCAGGAATCTTCATAGACGATTAACTTCTTGTCACAATGAAATCTTTCTCATATATAAGTGTATAATATATATCTCTCAGTTTCTTTTATTTTTAATATCTATCTTTTTTGCGATCTTAGCTTTCTCGATAGAAGAAAACGATAATAAGACTCGTGATTAGCCAGCTAAATTCTTCGATACGATTGGAGAGAAGAAGAATTACTACTACTCTCTTCTCCTTTCTTTCGTTTCTCTCTATTTTTTCTTTTTCTCTCCCTCGCTACCTCAAAGGATGGAGGAGGAAGGAGAGCACGGACCGCTACCTACGACTGCCGGCTATCGACTGTGTGCTGTATTGCGTGTGCATGTATATATCCTCATTGGGCTCCCGCCTCTGCCGCTACAAAACTCTTGCCGGCGCCGCTGCCACCACCACCACCACCACCACCACCACCACCACCACCACCATCGTCAGTACTACTGTCCTCAACTTTACCTACGACTACGACGACGACGACGACGACGACCAAGACGGCGTCTTCGAACTCTTCTTTTCCTTCCTTCCTTCCTTCGTCTTCTTCCACCTATCCTGCTACTTCATCTTCTTCTTCTTCTTCTTCTTCTTCTTGTAAGACAGAAAAGGCCGTGCAAAGGCCACCGATTATTATGTCTTCGACTTCTTGCTCTCATTCCGCTTTCTCTTTCCCCTCCACTTCTTCTTCTTCTTGTTCTTCTTCTCTTCGATACTCTACTTACTTCACGGTTAATCTTTCGACTGCATTCTTGGTCCTTTCAAAATGGCGTCTTTTGTAATCTATCTTCTTTGCTATAATTGAATAGATATAATACCTTAGAGTGTGCATTAGAAACGCTATCCTGATTTAATCAAAGATATTTATTTACTTACAAGTGTTTTCACAAATTGCTACGATTATTTAATTAATGTTTGATTAAGTTCATAATTAATAGCATCATTTATAATCCATCTTCTATGGTAATTTTATGAAAAAACAAATAGAAACGTTAGAGAACAAGAATTCTATTATCGTGTTAGATATTTATTTCATTACGAATGTTAACAAATTTCAACAACTGTTCTCCAAAAAGAAATTGATTATATTATCAGCTCGCGATAAGCCAACGAAAATTTAGTTATTAAAGGACGTTGAAAAAATAATTGAGAGTTCTCGGGCTAGACAAAGATAATGAGAAGGAGGAGGATTTGTGCCGTGTCGGAGCAAAGCCTCCAGGCAGGATTCTTTGCGAGACGAATGAATCTTCGTTCTCTTTCGCGACTCCTCTCGTGCTACTTCGTGCCGTTTCGTGACTTCGAACCGAGTTAACTCTCCACTTACCGGTACGTCGTCGCCGTCGCCGTCGTCGTCGTCGTCGTCCTCGTCGTTGTCATCGCCGTCGCCATCGTTCACAAGTGTACGTAACGCCATGGGTCCATAACACTGATATGAGCTTTCTTCATCTGTCTTAGGACGTACTTCGTTTCTACCCTTTTTTGTTTTTTACTTTTACCCTTCTTTTAATTGACATCCCCCACCTCGCAATTGTTTATTCTTTCTTTCTTCAAACAGAGAGAACACTTGTACGTGATTTAAAAATGCTCCTTCGAAAAGCAAAGTTCTCTGAAACGAATCATACCGCATGTGTATTATAAAATATATAATTAATTTTTTATATAAGAAATTATAATAAGGAAAGCTTGACGATTATAATGATTAGTTAAAAAACACTTTGAAAAATCCTTTTATCCTTTTTAATTAACTTCATTATACTTACACCCCTTGTGCATTTACCGTGTAGTTCCACCGTGTCAATACGGAAGGGGGAATTACACATCCGCATTGACATCTGACCTCTGATTATTCCAATCTCTCTCAAGCTCGTGCTTCAGATATTCTTATTAGTGTTCTAGTTAACGTTCCTTCCGGTGATAACGAATCCCATGTCGCAGTCAAGCCTTTCCTTCAGGTTTTTCTGAAAGACATTGCGCTATGTTTCTAATATAAATGATTAATATGTTGATAGTACAGAAAAGAAATGAAACGTCAGTAAGTACCTTGAAAAACTTGATATGATCTAATTCGTCAATTATAAAAGCTCTTACGAGTTAAAATGTTGAGATCGTCCTAATATGACACAATTTGGATTTTACGTTCATTTAATCCGAAAAACTTAGGATCTACCTAATGTGTTTTTAAAGGTACATGCATAGTTGAATGTGTAAGTTCTACATACATATTTAAACGCGTTGTTTTGCAGCTTTATATCACAGGATACTTACATATGTATATGTAAAAACGAAACGAGAAAGCGTGACTTCGATGGAATCCCTGAGTGAAGTCACCTCTCCCCGGAAATTACCGATCGATTTCGAGGAACTCGCGAACGGTGCTTGCTTTCACTTTACGACGGCGTACACGAACGACCCTGTCACCACCACCACCATATCGTCCTATTCGCCATTAACACTACCACCATATTACAACCCCTCTTCGTTCCTTCATTTTTCTTCTTCTTTCTTTTTATTTTTTTTTATGTTCGCAGAAAGAAACAAAGCCTTGCGTGACTCTTGAACGCAATACTTGTCGTTAATACGGCGAAAATACTTAGAAAACAGAAATGAATGTGAATCTAAAAGAGAAATGCAAAAGGTATTTTAATGATATGATTAGGAATTAGAAAAAGGAGTGTACGGTAAGTTTTTCCCATTAAAATGAGAATGATTTATTAAAGCACTAAGTATTTACCTCTTTAAAGTACATCCTGTCCTTAACTTTTTTTCAAAATATGAAGAAAAGTACTTTCTCATTTTCTTCAAGTTACTTTTATAAGAATTAAAAAGTACTTAGGGTAAATAGAAATCCTAGGAAGAGTAAAAGGGTAAATCGAACGAGCTTACGAGTACTGCGTTCTTCGTTAGAATTGATTAAGCGTTTAATACTTACGCGACTTGAGTCATATCCGTGAATCCACAGAGTAGACCTTCGACTTCAATTTGAACATTTTAGGAACGTACGTGATGTGTCTCAGTCTTTTCTCGAAATTATTCTTTCTCTCATTGTATGTGTATCATTAAAGTATACGATCTTTATAAGATTTATCTGAAATAGAAGAATTAACATCTTTTATTGATCTATACTTTGAATTAACACTTTTGTTAATAATAAGAAAGAAACATAAATAACTGCGGTAATAAGTATATGATATTATTAAAAAGTCTTCAAATTGACCAGAACAAAAGGAATACAAACTACGAATATATTCCTAATTACATAAGTGAACACACACACACATACAAGATAGATATTTAAACGGATACAAATTCACGCGCAAACATATATATATATATATATATATATATGTATATACATATAAAAAGAGAAAGATTTTATCGGAGTGAGTAAGAATTTAATTTAGACACCCTAAGCTTCGGCTCTGCGTGGACGAACGCATTGACAACGTCCGGCGTGTTTATGTATGTACATATACACATACACGTGGGCGCTGACAAGCGACAAGACCTAATCTCTTCCCTGAAGCCGTCGTCGTGCTTCCAGCGGTAGCAAAGACTTTGCCACCAGCTACCAACCAATCACTACAAAGTTACCTGAACATACGCGTATGCATATACACAGACACATGCATAACATGATGAACCAGTAACATGTTTAAAAAAGACGCCAGGAATGCGAGCTCACGACATTATACGCGTTACCTACGTGGGTGTGCAAGCCTCTTTTCAGGTCTATAACGTATCTATAAGTCTCACGCGTTCTGGAAGAAGCAAAAGAAGAGCCTTCTCGACCACAAATATGTCATAATTCACTGGTCAGTAGGCTATACCTACCAAAAGTATCCACTATATTATCCAAAGAGAAAGAGAGAGACAAATCCCAGATGCTTTTCTTCCACAAAAGTAATCTCTATCTCTGTCTTTATTTATGCTCTGTTCATCGGTGTTGCGAGCGAGAGTAAGAGTGAGAGAAAGACGATCTGTTAAACTTACACGTATCGCATACACATTGTTCATCTTTCTACTCCTTTTTAACATTCCATTAAAGCAATACATTTTTATCCAACACGTTATGTTATCTTTATATCATGCATGCTTTCTCCAGCAACTTGCTCGTTATTTCTATGATATACGGAAACGAGTCGAGAAAGAGTACGATAGGAAACTTCTTCTTCCCTTTTTTTTTTAGGATGGGGTGGATATTTCTTGAAGAAACAACTTCACATTATTGCTTGTGGTTATAGTCGTCGTAGTTGTCGTCGTCTAATCTCAAAGAAGCTGGGCTCTCCGTTTTCCAAACGCTTTTTTTCGGACAGCTTGGAAACGTTAAGTAACGTAAAGTAGACACGGAAAAGTAGGTGATATTTTGTGGAGACTAAATGTGTTTCCCCTCTCTTATTTATTTCTTTTTTATTTCTTTTTTAAAATATTTTCTTTAGATTATTTTCTTCCTGATACGTGAAACAAATTCTTCGACGGAGGATTGTTACATTGAGGATATTCTAATCCTTGTAATCTAGTTTTAAAAATGTTATTCAGATAAAAGTTTATTTTTTTTTTTTTTTTTAATATCTTCTCAGACTATCAAAACTGCATCAGATGCAACAAGTCTTCTCAATGCAAACTCTAATTATAATAAACAATCATTTAGCTTCGACTCAGATCATATCATACTATCGTCCGATCGTTGACCTTGAGTGTGGGGGTGGCGAGGCCGAACAAATATACGTAAAGTAGTAGTAGTAAACTAATATACATATACATATATAGCTTGGTAGGATATTCCAATTGTAAAGCGTGTGACGCAAAGGATTCGTGGGTGTATTTACATGAACGTGTTGTTCCTAGAAGTCAGGGACTCCTACGAAGTAAAGGTAGGGGTATGATTCATGAGCGTGACCTACACGAAGAAGGAAGGAAGGGAGAGGAAGAACGATAGATACAATAGATATATAGATAGAGAAAGACAGATAGGTAGATAGATACATAGATAGATAGATAGAGAAAGAAAGAGAGAGAGAGAGAGAGAGAGAGAGAGGTAGTACAGTAATGTACAGTTAATGTCTCGTAATATTCTGTAATACGTTGATGACTAAGCCAATTTTCGCTATCACTATCCCTCTCTCTCTCTCTCTCTCTCTCGTACACACACACACTTGTTGTCTCTTCTTCTTGTCTATCCTTCCCTCTCTTTCTCCCTTCTCGTGTGTGTCCACACGCTCACGCTCGTCCTGCCCCGTACAACTTGTATCTCGGAATCACACTTAATTGGACTTCCAGGTAAGTCACCTGCGAAACACGTAGGAAGCTCGTATGGAATCTTTCCCCGCGTTACGTTCAGTGTGGATATATATAGGGTGGATCTAAAGTTTCTAAATAATTTTTAAAATAAATTATATCTTTTCGAAACTTATTAGGTTCGTATTAATTAGACTTGCAGTTTTACAAGCTGGACTTTGTACGTAGTATTACATGTTATATAAGAGAAAAGAAATAAGAATGAGAAATTAAAAAAAAAAATAATTAATTTTTATAATCATCTACGAAATGTTGACCTACTTAAGAACTTTTAATCCGCCCTATGTGTATGTCATATACATATTATATATCAGGATTTAGTTAGTTTGCTATCAAAGATTCGTTATTTTTTCTTTTCTTTTTTTGCTTTTTCAGTTGAGGACAAAGAATACGATATTCTTCGAAGGAACAAGTTTTCGGTCAAGACTTTTGGAACCGATTAAGCTATCTTCCCCTTTTTTCTTGGATTTTCTCGAATGATTTAGTGAATAGTGGTAGGGTAATAGAATACGAAGTGGATGGTTCACATAAGTATGTACCTCATTTCTTTTCCCTTTTTCTCAAAAAAAATGTGATGATCTTTTATGATTTTTTTCTATCTTTCTTTCTGTGAGAATTTTGAATGTTTCCTAAGTGTGAGATTTTTGTAGAGATTTGGGACACCTGAAAAAAATTAAATTATATGGAAATAAATATTAACTTAATTATAAAAAAAAAACAATTATCACTATATTATATAAAAAAAAATAAAATTAACCATTTATTAGAAGACAAAAAAAAATAAAAGATTCATTGATTTTTTAAAAGGTAATAAAATTGATGTTGTCTAGAAACTTTTGGTCCACCCTGTATAACTTCGGTCTTAAGACATATCCAACAAATGAAGTTGTAAAGTACATATTAAAACATTAATCGTTATCTAAATATTTGAACAGAAGTGGTAAAACGGTTCTAAATATTCCAGGTAAATATTTTTCACCGTTTTTAAATTCAGAAATATAGATTTCTATACAAAAGAATACAAAATATGCGAGTCCTGATCTTCGAACTCGCTCGAGCCACATTTGCATACATATCGGGAACGTTTGCACGCGGTAAGCCAGCACATTCTTTGGATTCTAAAGAGAGAGAGAGAGAGAGAGAGAGAGAGAGAACACGCTTCAATATCTAAATCCATTCGAGAAAACTTTAAAGATTCACTATACGTATATGATTTCCCTTTTTGTTAACAGAGTACTTGCTGCTTTCTCACGAGACTTTGACTTGGTTAGACCAATAAGTAAGAGAGAGAGAAAGTTACGAAGAGAAAAGGCTTCTTTATTTTTAGCTATCATGCTGCATATTTTCTACCTCCAGCCCTCCACCCTTTCCTCCTTTTCGATAGTCTTCTTCTTTCACAGTATGCTATCGATGCAACCCATTCTTCCATAAATCTTCCACGAGCAGCAAGTTTTGCAGCTGTGTCCTCTCTTCGTGGCTTCTTCTCTTTTTCCAGTCGTTGCTGCTTCCTTCCGCTTGAGAAAAGAAGACACTGCCACGTGGCTCTTGATCAAACCAGTATCCCGCTCTTTTTCTTTCTTGCTCTCAGCTCTTCCTTTCTTCTAGAGATAACTCGATCATAGGAAAGATCATTTTTTCATGTAACTTTACAAGGTCGAGTAGTTTATATGAGCTTTCCAAGTGACTAGCTTCAATCGATAGATTAGAAATGATGAAGAAGAGACCTTTGTTCTTTCTTTTCTTTTTTCTTCTTCTAATTCTTAAAAATATCCTACGAGACGTTTAAATAATTCTTCGTGTTCTCTAGAAAAAGCACACAGGGACACTAGATGTTTCATTATTCAAGAAATTCTTATAAAGCTCTATCCAAAACGTTTCTATATGTACATCTATTTCCTATTTCTAGACTTTACACTTTGACCTCGTATCCAAGTTAGACACCGATTGACTCTAGGTAACACGGTTATAAGTACAGTTATCTTTTAAATCGATATTTTATTCCTTAACTTGTTCAATTGTTTTGCAACTAGTAAAAAAGAAATATATTTTTAAATTTGTATTTGGATAAGTCAGAAAAATCTTACTATTCGAAAAGAAAAAAAAGAATTACTATAAATGCTAATAGAAAAAGTAACTTATGGAAAGACATTAGATACATATACATATATAAAGTAATCCGATAATTCGATCGCATTACTTTGCCATCCATGAAATGGATGGCAAAGGCGCTTAACTTAACACCGTAACGAATAAACGGCTTTGGTCAACGCGATTTACTTTCTCGGTACATTGACATATATATGAATCTTGTATTATATAGATTAAAATGGTTCATGGACGGTTCATGTAACATAGTCATGGGAGAGCTTTCGCAGTTCAAGGAAATGTCGCGACTACGCCCTAGTGCTTGTACCTACCGATTTTATCAGCTTCATCGGCTTCCAACAAATCATTCCTTCGGCGAATAGTACGTATAATTCAAAGTGAACTTTACTCGTGAGTCAAAGAAATTCCATATGACGAGAGAGTGGAAAATTATTCTTCAGATCCGTCAATCTGAAACAAAAAAAAGAAAATTATTAATATAATGTAATATATATAGCAATGAAAATGATCATAATACATGGGTATCAATACATATATGGATATTAAGTATATTATATAAATACAATATATCATAATAAGCAATAAGATATATATCACTATCTCTTTCTCTCTCTCTCTCTCTCTCTCTCTCTCTCCCCCTCTCTCTCTCTCTCTCTCTCTCTCTCTCTCTCTCTCTCTTTCTATCTCGATTTTCAATATAAATATACACATATGCATAGATACGCCCCTGGATATCACAAATACACGCCTCCACGCAATGAGAGATCGATGTAACCCCGTTTCAGGTTGAGTAACTTCGATGCAGCCGGCCTTTTATTACATTCCTCACGTCCCAGATTGGGGAAAAAGAAAGATAGAAAGAGATAAAAAGAGATAGAAAGAAAGACCACTACCTGATGCTAATCTTTTGTATTTATACGGTCGCATCTCGATGCAAGAAGAGAACCGACAATTATCCTCTTCTCTCTTATCCCCTCCCCGTCCCCAGCACCGTCCCCGGCCCCATCCTCGGCCCCATCCTCGGCCCCATCCTCGGCCCCATCCGCACCCTCTCATCCCCCTGAACACTTGTGCTTCGAGGAGGCACAATCGGTCAATTTGTGTTGGTTTAATAAAGCAGAGGGCTTATTGTTGGTGGAACGGCCACGCGCTCAAACTCCAAGCTGGTTGGCGCCAGCCCCTTCGGTAAGTCTCTCGTTTACGATGACTTCGTTAATAAGGAGCGGCGCATCATCGATCGTTGTGCATTACTCCGAAAGATCATCGTGTCAAACGACTCGACCTTTACTTCGTAATTGCGTTATTACCGTATGAGTAAAATATCTTCGTGCTTATGTATAGCCGATTATTTCAGGTAAAAATTCTTCTGTTTATGGATGGAGTTTTAGAGAAGATTCGCTATAAGAGAGGATTTATGTTTATTAATTACTCACTAAAAGATTTCTGTGATTTCTTCATAGCATTCATTTTAAGATCAATTATTTGGTAACATATATACACATCATTTATACTTATGGTAGCACAAACATTAATCATCATAAACAAATCGTTCAATTTGTAATAGGAAAATAAATGAAGATTAAAAATGCTAGATAAGTATCACAAATTGTTTCCTACCAATATTAATAATAATATCATTAAAAATGTATTCATATTACCTACTTATATATTTCATTGCGATCTACTCTCGTAGAAATCATTTTTGAACTTGGCGTTGGCAAGCTTTTCCTATCGTACGTTTAGACCTATTAGAAATAAATAAAATAGATAAATTAGAATGATTTGGAAAGAAAAGAAAAGAAAAGAAAATAAAGAAGCGATGGAGATCGTCGAGAGTTGAATTTTTCTCACGCGTGCAGAAACAAGGGCTTCGAAATTTAGAGGTTGTACATGCATATGTGTGTTCGATCTTAGATAAGTTTTAGTTTCCGAGGATCGTCGGGTCTTCTCGGAAGTCGATGCGTTTTCAATTACCCGCGAAACCACGCATGCACGTGGCTTGTAAAGCTTCCCCCGACTTAAGTGCCCTTCGTGCCGACACGCGGACCTACGCAACGATTCATTACAACCTGTTATTATTATTATGCGTCTTATTATACCACGTAACATCTCAACGTAGCTAATTTTTTAATCCCCTTTCAAAATATTCTTTTGTTTTCTATTTATTGAACAAATATGCATGTATATTATACATGCATAAGATGTCTGATTGTTGCAATATTCCACAAGTTTCTTGATATATAAAAAGTGTTCCTATTATTATTCTAATGTAATCTGAACTCTTTTGCTTTCAATAAATTAAAATAAACCATCCTGTATATACGGTATATACATACTTATTTTTATTAAAAGAGGAACAAGCAATTGATATACTTACTTATAATTTTACTTATTTCGGTCCATCTTTTTCTTCTTCTTCTCAAAAAATTTCAATATCCATTTCCAGCGAAAAACTTTTCAAACAAACCCTCCTTGTAGCTTGAAATTTGAGAAGGACGTATTACAAAAAAAGGCCGAACGTAATCTCATAATAGATTATATTAATCTTATCTCTAACATACCTAAATCATTAGGAAGAAGATGAACCTTTTTAAGGAAATACTAACTGCGAAAAAGATTAACGATCGATATACCAATCCGCCATTTGTATTTTTTTTCTAATGGTTGTTAGAGATAAAAAAAATGTCATTTTTTATACATTCATCTTTAACAAATAAAAAGGAGAATTTTGTCAAAAATTATATCTTATTAATTATAATTAATATTATACTTACGAAAATGCTTAGAACCTCGATGATTTCTCTCTTTCTCTTCAACGCATTTTTTATTATTTTATTTAAAAATTCAAACACAAGACTTCAAACCGCTTAAAGTAATTCAAAACGAAGGCAGGAATAAAACAAAACACAATCGTTAATTATTAATATTAGCCGCAGGTGGCGCCTATTACCGCTCTCCTTTGCATCTATTCGTTGAGTAATCTTACCAATTAAAAATTAAATCAACCGACAATAATCCAATAAAACAATCAGAAAACATTATCGTTTACAAGAAATGTCAAAGTTAATTATTCTCATGACAACATTATCATTGGTTATAAGGATAAAATGTAATAGAAACAAAGCTTGACATCATGGAAATAATTTTCCCGCGTATGTTCCCCCATAAAAGTGTGGAAACTTCATGCAGATATTATGGGAAATATATTTCTGAAATTCTCCGATAAATGGTTATAAAATTAAAACTTACAGGGAAAGGGGAAGAAGAAAAAAGAAAACAATTTTTATCATAAACTTCGATCGATCTATCTCTCGTACGCGTATGTTTGAATATAGAAGAAAAAGTTTCCCAATACGCCAAGAGGTTAGTTTGAATCTTCGACATTTGCTTCGACTTTTAATTCGATTATCGATTAGACTTGTAATTCGACTTTTGACAAATTTAAAAAAGAGAATGGAGATCGTAGGAAAGCACGTATACGCGACATTAATATGGAATAGAAAAAAAACAAAAAGAAAAGAAAAAGAATGATTGTATTGTTGGAGCTATAGGAAGAAAAGGATAAAAAGAGGGGACACCTGATTTGTTACGACACAGTCGTCGTGACAGCTTTCAGTTTATCTAGGTAATACTTTGAATAGTAGGTAGAGATGCTTACGGTTTATTGAAAAGTTTCTAACGGTAATATTGTAGAACGACATATCGATTGTATGTATACTACAGCAACATAGACAACTTCTACACATCAACCATGACTTTTATCAAAACGTGTGAAAGGAGCCGCTCCCTTGTTCGTTAAATGAGCGAACGTCTAAATCTTTGTTAACGTTGTCGAGAATTTGCCGGGAAAACGTTCGAAAGAAATTCCAAGCAATTCATTCCTACAGATTTCTTATATACTTTTGTCTAAATACTTTCTCTCTCTCTATCTCTTTCTTATTCAAAGAAACGGCAAAGAATAATTACTCGACTTTCTTCATTTGCAGCCAGGCAATTTAATAATATCATCATCAAATATACTTTGATTGCATTATGTAACAATTGAGGTATTTTTTCAAAAAGAAAAATCTTTTCCAGTGATCATTCTATTGGTTGGATTCATTAGTTTCTGCGAATTTCATTGATCGTAGAAATTTTACCGCGAATTCAAAGGAATTTAAACGTTTATAAGCATTTTGACTAACATCATGATAAAAATAGTATAAAATATGATAAATATATGTATATATATTTGAAAAAAAATCAACCTTTAAAAATCAAAAGCAGAAATATATATAATATGTACAAAAAAAAAGAAAAATAACTAATTAAGCATAGCTCGTGTCCACTTAGTTTTTCAATATTCTTGTTTACCATTCTAACGTGCCTGGAATATATTTGTCGATCAATTTGTCATAATAAGGCCATAATTGTTCAATATCTGGTATAGCAGCACTTTTTGTGTATAAATCATATTTACTGTAATAAAATAAACGATTTTATATTTACAGGAAAGTAACTGTTCATAGTCTATAAAAGAAAAATGACTTACTTGAATTCTATGATCCACTTGAGTTTATCTAAATCTTCTTGCGTACAAAAATGCATATAATCACCACCAGCATGCCAGGGGTAGAATGAATGATAACGAATCATAGCAAGTGCTTCCTTAGGTAATGTACAATTATTATGAACCAAAACACGATAAAGATATTCGTCATGTCCCCAGGACATGATTAAATTGTCTATACCGCATTGTGATTTGTACATCCCATATTTTGTACTATAATATATAAATATATTATTAATAATCCATTTTTTATAGATGAAAATTCGATTGGTAACTAATTCTTACTTGTAACGAGAGTCCTGGCCGTCAGGATTTGTTTCAAAACTGGAGTCTCTGTAGACTATGGAATCAGCCCATGCACAGCCAACAGGAAATGTATCACCCACGACAGCCCATTGGGGTTCCCCATAGAACGCCATAATCTAAAATATTTGTGTATTAAAATAGGTAGGTTAATTTGATCTCTGAATATAATATACCTTTCCTAAATCATGTATCAGTCCAGTTAAATGGAACCAATCTAAATCAGGATGATCTGTTCTTATGGATTCGGCCGTTTGAAAGGCGTGAACGATATTTGGTAATAAGGTATCTGGATCGCTCTCGTCGATGAGATCGTTTAATTTGATCAGTGCTTCTTTAATCGTCATTCTGGCTTTATTGAATTGAAGCCATTCTTTCATACGAGCTGTGTGGTAAATGTCGATTAAAGCATTCAAAAGTCATTTATATTATCGTTTAATTATCTATTTGATAAGGACTTTCCAAACTTAAATGGGCCAAAACTCACTTTCGAAAACAGTCAATTTTCGCAATCCAAGAACATCTAAATGGCTCTCACATTTTAATATTTAACATGATCCCATCAGTAAGTCTTGACTCACGCTTCGGAAATCCCTTACGCTTTATTACGTTTTCATTAATATCTTATTATAGGTGAGTTTATTTACTCCATTTACTCTGAGTTTCTTATTTTATCTAGCATTTGATACAAACAAAAATAATAGATCGATCATTTAGAAATCGATTTTTATAAACGAACGGACAGAATTATATCTTTTTAGTTGTGCTACAATCTTTCCGCGAAGAAGATTATGGTCAATTTTACGTCATGGATTGAGGGTTAATTCGATTGACTAGAGAAAATAAGAAAAATATTGATTGAATCAATGATGGTCAATGTTAATGATCTATATATAACATATAGCGACGTATAAATAGATTATTATCTCTCTCCCTCTCTCTCTTTCCCTTTCTATATAGAAATATACGCATTAGTATATACGTCATATCAAATTTGTTTATATGTAATAAATGGGATAACTGATAATGTATTAAAAAATATTTATATACTAACAAAGCACAAACTCGACCGTTTGATTAGTATGCATGTTCTCGTAAGTCTGACGAACACGTTCCTTGATCTCATCTGCTGGATCTACGCTAAAGTTTCTAAACTCGCTTTTCAATTTGCCGGCATAGATAGGCTCCGGTCGAAACTTCTCCGAAGGATCGATAATCGAAGTAACTTGGTTACGTGACTGCAAATGATCAATTTACATTTTAAAGATACTTATACAAAATCATCTCTTGCTTTTTTAAACTCTACTCATAGTATACGATATTGAATTTTCTTTTTAAATATTTTCTAATCCTAACTCGCGTTACATTGATTTCTCACAATTATTATCCTATGATTGATAAAATAAAAAGTATATTCCAATTATTGTACGTCATTAATTGTTTAAAACAAATACAAGAAGAATTTTTATAGTATTGATAATTAAATATAATAAGAATTGATATATTTACAAAGTTAATTATAATTTTTATATATATATATATATATATATAGTTTTCATATATAGTTTTAGAAACATTAATTTAATTCATACTCACTCTTATTTTAGTAGACATTTTAAAAAATGTTGTTTCCTTATAAATTAACTTGGTTCCTTGATATACGTGCTCTTTGGGGATACAACACTGACTGACCCGTTCAATCTAACAGAGTTAACTTATAAATCTCAGACAATTCCCCCCTTTGACCCTAGGTTGTTCAACGTTTGATCTCTCTCACACGCACGTTATTTAATATCCGTTATCTCTTACTAATACAGATAAAAGATAAATAGCAACAAAGGATACCAAGTGTCAGAAGTAAATAAAAATCTAGGAAAACTATTATATCATATATTATGCAAGTAAAACAGAACACCTAAACACAATTTTCATATCTTTGCCAATGAAAGAATCAATTCAATAGGAAAATGAAAAATCATCGATACAATTATAATTTAATTAAATGGTATATATGATCGTGAACTGGTATGAATAGTATCTTTGTTGACAAAAAAAAGTCATTTCTCTTCCTGGAACCCCATGTTAATACAGAAATTAATACGTAATAATAATAATATTAATAATAATAATAATAATAATAGTAACTTTTTTATTTTTGATGAAAGAAATAACTCTTCTTTTATCAATTAATAGAATAAAAATAAAGATAAAAATACGTTTCGTTGTAAACCAAACAATGAAACTTTGAAAAACTCTAATAACCAAATTGCAAAAGACCTTTCATAAAATAAAAAAAAATATTAACGTGATTTATTTTATCAGAGATTGAAAGATATTAAATATTTGTTGGATTTTGAAGTCTCCTTGATCATTCCTAAAATAGTTCGATCGAGTCTTTCATCATAATTCACGCAATTGACGGTAATCGAGATGTATGAATCTGAGTGTAGCCGACAATTGCTTTGGATGTGGTACATCTCGTTGATGCAATAAAGTCAATGAACATTATAACGATATATTCGACGTATGAAATTAGCTTGCATATCTAATTGCGTTAAAGTGCTCAAGGGAGACACTTCATACAGTTAGTTGAGTTATACATACACGCAAACTGACCATATATATATACATAAAAACTCGCATGCTGTATCTATATCGTAAACGTCAATTTAGTTTACTTACAAATATTTCAAGATTATGGAAATCTTTCAATCCGATAACCCATTACATATTACATAAAAAAAGATATGTATATATCGTAATACTTGTTATTTTATTGTAAGAAAAATGTGATTATAACGAAGCCTCTGACGGAATGGAAAAGTTTTGGAAAGAGTTCATAAAGAAAAATATAAAAATAAATTAGAGTATAAAGTATTGACCTATGCACTGTAATGGACTAAGTAAATTATATTTCTTAATGTATGTGTGTGTTCCATTAGCAAATAAACAGTATGAAACATCATTTACCGCTGTGATGCAATTCACGTATGTATATATATATATATATACATACAGATATATATACATATATATATACAGATGTATATATATATATATATATATTTACAAAGAAATTGTTTTTACACGATTATCAATTCTTATTTCTTAAAAAGAAAACACACGCATTTAAGTATCTCAAGATGAACTAGAGTCGGAATAACTCGAGTTGCTTCCTTTTCTTCGTACATTTTCTTGATGTCTGTGTGACGGAGTTCGCGATCGAGATCTGTGTCTCGAGGATGATTTTTTGCTCTTTTTAGATCTGTGGTTTCGAGAGCTACTTGGACTGTCGTAGCTACTGTAATCATAAAGAAATAAAAAATATTTATTACGTATATACAGATGCATATATAGAAGAGAGGATTTGATTGTTTGTTTTGCTAGAATATACTTTACCTTCTGTGAGAAGTTTTCTTTTTCTTGTGTTTTTTGTGAACCTTATGTCTCTCAAGACGACTACGACTTCCACTGCGACTTCTAGATCGTTGACGAGATCTTTTCCCACTTAAATCTGCACCCTTTAATCGATCCATCAACGAGTTACCACAAATTTTGACATCTTCTGATTTATCATCTTCCAAGGACGGAGATGGAACCGAGTAAACCTCATCGGAATCATCTTTTCTTATATTAGGTGTTGCAGAAGTACCAATTTTCGAGCTAGTCGACGAAGTTTGAATTTGACTTAAAAACATGGCTGCTTTTTTCTTTCGTTCGAGTTGCAATTGCTTTTCTCTCGAGGTCGCAGCTAATTTATCACAAGCTGCTGCCACTAATTTGTCTTTTATTCTATCTTCTACTTGCTTATGTCTTATCTCTAATTGACAATCTTCAAGAATGTCGTCAGTTAAATCAACCAATTCCTTTTCTTCGCTTTTACACTTCTTTATTTCTACCTTAGGTGGTTCTTTATCGATATTAGTTATTATATTAGTTTGTTCCTTGCTATTTAATGGCGAATTAGGTTTAGAATTAGTTTCTTTCTTTTCAGGTTCCATTTCATCGTCGCTTTCTTCCAACGGCAATGCATTTCTTTTTTCAATTATTACATTCTCACCTTCCTTTGGTTTTTTTATAGAAAATGATACTGTTGTAATCTGTTTGCTTCCTGGACTTTGTTTTGTTTTGGTATCACTCTTCTTCTTAGCTTGTATCATTTTTACTCGTTTCTGTACTTCTTCCATTCTTTGCTGTTTCTTCTGTAATTCCTCCAACTTCTTTTGCTTCTCCTCTTGCGGTTCTTGCTTCTGAAGTAACTCCTCTTCAGTCAACACTTTAGGATTTATGGCCCCTTCGTACATGGTCAATTTATGTGCATAATATCCATGGTACTGATGCGACAATTCAAGAAAATTAAATCTTGGATCACCTTTATTTTTCACTATAGCTTCAAAGTCTCTACCATTTTTGGCCACATAACTGGCCATCTTGTCAATAATTATTTGAACGTCTGCTGGTGGAACGATGAACGATGGTCTGCTTAATGTTTTTGGTGGAGTTGGTCCATAGGGTACCAAAGAAGGTATCTCTTTTGCTTGTGGAGGCGTCGTAGATTCTTCGGTGGAGATAACAGGTACAGCTGGTACTGGTAGCTGAGGTGGCGATTGAATTTCACCATTTGGCCCATATATAACTGGACCGTGTGAATATTGCAAGGGTGTTGCTGTGTATGGAGTGTAACTCTATAAAAACATAAAAATTAGAACCCGTAGAATCTTAGAAAGTCGTAAAAAAGGAATAGAATTTACCTGTGGCACAATAGGTGGCTGATAATATCCAGAAGTCGGCATTTGTTGAACGCTAACATCTAATAACTGTGGTATTTTAGGTGGGGGTGGTTTCCCTGTGATTTTGTTTACAAGCATTGAATAAGCACAGTCCGCAGAGGGCTTGTACTGTATGCTTGGTATGCTAGGAGCCTAGAAATAAGTAAACATATCTTTTAGAAATATTAATAAACTATTTTGCGTATTTCTTTTATGGAAGATTGTAAGTAGGAAAAATATATTATCACCTACAAAGATATTCCCTCCAAAGAAGAGACGGATAATTAATAAAAAACAGAGGCATATGTTTTGAAGACAGGAACGTGTATATATTTCCAGGTACAAAAAAGAAATGTTGGAATACGCTATTAAAATAAATGTATTTCTGTACTTGATGAAATCGGCAATAATGATATATGTTTAAATTTATAAAATAGGGTATTATTCATTTCCTAATACAGTCATATACGAGATGTATGTTTTTCTGCATAAAATGATGTATGATACTTTAATGAATCTCTGCTATATGAATAAAACTAATGAGTTTCGATAGAGTATGGATAAACAAGAAAAAAGGGTAGGAGGATAGGTTCAATGCATACCAGAATCAGCCCTGGAAGCAGAAATATATGACACATAAATTAGTGTAATAGAATAATATTAACATTTCATCCTATGATCCATGTATTTTTGAAATAACTGTTTAAAAAGTAGGTAGTTTCAGAGGTAAACCTGTGATTCTTTAGGAGGCTTCCAAATTTCGTTAATATCCCAATTGTTCTGAATCTTCTAACAGCTTAGGAAGCACTTTTTTTATGTCTTTTATCAAAAATTATTATATTTGTACGACAATGTATATATTAGAAGAAAACATACCGCTTCTACTTTGGCAAACGATGGTGCTAGGCTTGGGTGAAGGTATGGTTGATCATCTTCATCTGATTCTTCCTCAGGTTCTGTCGTTAAAAAAACAAATCAATGGATATAAATAATTATGATTGTATATTGTTTTCCAAAAATGAGTTACATTTGTCACTTGTAAATAAAAACCGATGTAGTAGTAACAGGAACTTGTGGCAATACTTACGGCAAGAAAAACTAAGTAGAATCAAAGTAGGTGTGGGTAATCATATCCTGCTTTATGTTGCTTCAATTACTTCAACTCAATCATATCAACTTTCATAATGTTACTACAAGATGCTGCTTTATAGAAAATAGTATGCATACCAGATTCTTCTTTTTCAGGTTGTTTTTCAGGATTATATTTTCCAGTCTTGATCGCTTCCAGCACAAACTTGTAATACGGATGTAGCGGTTCACCTATCGATAGGAACGAAAATTGCGGATTGTTTGCTTGTTTCGCCTTTAGTAGAATCTCCATTTGGCCCCCTTGACGACTAATAAATAGTGCTGTTTTAGTGATTATCGCATTTAGCTTCTGCGTTTCAGGCTGCAAATATGTTATTTGTTAATGTATGTCTGTAAGATGTCCAAAATAATGATCTCAATATTATCTTACCACTGTCATGCCTTCTGGTATTTCAAGATCTGGCGGTGGTACAAAAGCTTGATCCTCTTCTTGCGATCCTTCCGATTGTTTTGGACTCTGAGAGTCTTCACATGCTAACTTTGAATTGTTTTCATCGTCGTTATAATTATATGCTACTTGAGTATAGGAATTTTCAGAGTTCAATGCTTGATGCAATCTTTTCATCTCTTCTTCTAATACCAAGAAAAAAGATAATATGTTAATAATATTTCGTTCTTATAGTTCAATGTAAAACTAGTAGTAAAAAACCGTAGTACCATGATACATGGAATCTTCTGCATCGTTATTATATAGAGATCGGTATCGTTCTTCATCACAGAGCTGTTCAACTTTAAGTTCATCCTCTGTGAGTATCGTCCGTTGATCAAAACCACCTGCCGGTGGCTCATGAATCCTTAAATCCCCCAGTGCTCCACGTCCATCGTATCTATACACATACAATGTTTAAATTAGAGAAAGAAAATAATACTTTTTAATATGAATTTTGTTAATCCCGGCATCTGAAAAATAATTTATGAAGAGAATCCCACCAAAGAGTTTCCTCTGAAATAGAATATAGTCGTACAAATTTGAATGATATATCTTTATGTGTAATATATTCCTTTGCATAACTTCCAAATTAAATATACTATGCATTGTTATACCATGTTTCTGAAGATGCAATTTGTTGCTTTATCTCGTATAAAATGACAACATTTATGATAATTTCATAAATGCTTACATACTAATTTACAAATCATTTATCAATATTATTTCTTTTCTTGTTATTATATTTTATACTACTTACAATTAGATGTATAAAACGTAGAACCATATATTGAATTATGTAAAACATTTTGTCCTGTTTTATCTAACAAAATATTATTTTTATACATATGTATTGCATTACATTTAATCAAACAACATGAGTAATCGTTATATGGTCCACGACGGTATATCCAGTTTGATATTTAACATAAGCTGTATTAATATTAATAACGGTATGGAAAATAAAATGATATAACTGCAATGAGCATACATATTGCATTATTCAGATATAACTAAAAGTAATTTGAATATTGATCATTAAAATGTAAACAACATAAAACATTAAGCGACAGAAAATGAAACAAAAAGAAAAGTTGACAAATTGAAGATACAAGTTTGTGGAAAAATCATTTAGAAGTTCTCACAAAGTGTTCACTTGGATGATGAAGAATACAGTTTGAGTATAAATGCTGCAATGTCTTCGACATGTACGTACACAATCCAGCTTGCCTAAATTTCAAGAAATATTTATAATATAAATGCAAAACAAAATATTTTATATAATTTAATATATGTTTCCAGTTACATCTTGGACACGTATGCTGTACATTCAATATTTATACAAAACTTGTATGCAGAGTAGTATACACATAAACGTAGAATGTATATTGCAACATAGAGAAATTATCAAAGTTGCATAATGCATTTGGTAATTCGTACATTGTTGCCAGCACAGCTGAATCTAAGACGCTAATACATACCATGCTGAACGGTCATAAATACCTATAACCGTCAGCTTGCCATTTGTCTCTCTACGCTGTGTCTCACCTTGCTGCTGCACAGACGGTCAGCCATAAGCGCCAAGCCACAAGAGCACCTTACTCTGCGCCCGTGCAGAGCGCATATCGCGCTTCAACACTGCGCGTTCAAATCGCCAACACCTGCAGAAACCTTAAACAGTCTCCAGATTGTTTATCTGTTCATTAACTATTTGCAGTGACCATAACGGTACTGTCTCTTCGATTGTCATTCACTGCATATTTTTTTCTACTTTATTTTTTATTATTTTTAATTTTTTTGTTCGAATTTGAGATCATTCTTCTAAACGTTACATATATGATGTGTTTATGCAATAATAAATATCCTAGATCATAAATTTGTTTCTAGGTTAGGGAAACGGACCTGTCTATCTTCAACGTGTTATCGCCCATCCATGGTATCAAATGCTTCCCCTGATCAATCATTTTCGCCTTGTCATCGTCTCGAAATAATTTGCAGCTATATCCGAACACCAACAGCTCCTGCGGTTCCTCTTCACCATTTTTTTTACGCAGAATCCCTGAATCAACCATCCATCGCTGACCCTTGGACGACGCCATTTTCTTTCTCTATATATGGATTACAAGAAGACAGATGTTCGACCATTAACATCTATAATCTAAAGAGAGGACAACACTGGCATGACATCTAATGAAAATAGGTGAGCAAACACCGGGATTGGTTCATTCTTTTTATTGTCCCTAGCACTGTTTTACCGACAATAGGAATATTACTATGTTAGAATAATTTTGATTCGTCGTTAAACTTCTTTAATATATTTTTTCATAGGCTGCGTAATTCTAATTTAAAATAGAGACTTATCACTGGGAATAATACTCTCAAATTCTGTGTGACAAAATTTATTAACAAAAAATTTTCTTTCTTTTTCAGTTCACCGTTCACCGTTACGACAATTAGTCTATTGTACGCTAACAATCGATTACAGCTTTGTTCCCGACTTATTAGTTACAATATTTATTTTGTTGTCTTTTATTTAAAAGACGTTGTTGAGAGTTAGGAAGCTACCTCTTCCGTGGCACCTTCGAATTCGAGCTTGACTTGACAATCATCGGGTAATCCTTCGACGTCCACCTCTGACTCGGATGCATTTAACATATTCAAGGTAACTTCCGCAGACTTTCCGATAAGAGCTTGATTACCGGCGCTTTGCTGTTTAGATCCTTGTTGTACAACCGTAGACTGTTGACTTTGCTGTCTAATCGGCACCCCAGCTTCCTCGAAAGCTTTCTTCTTCAAGGTAGTTCGAATCTGTGAGCTGCAAACGAAGAGAAAAAATTGGGAAACATATTATCAAGCCTGACTAAGAAATTGAGAGACCGTTCTAGAGACCGACGTCTCAAAGTGGCCTCTTCTTAACTTACACCGTTCGTCCTTTTATGCGTTCGCTTATTTTGTTCAAATCTTCACTGAAGGTTTTTACCGAGTGACGGAGCATCTCAATTTCCTCGTCAGTCCATTTACTAAAGAACAGGATTCTTATTTACATATACTTATATATATATATACAATTTTGAAAAGAAGAAGGAAAAAAAAAGAAGTTACACCGTTCTCAATAAAGTGTTACGTAGAAACATATGTTTAAATCGCGATTTGAAAAGCGCGCTCCTGGCATGACTTGGTACGTTCTATTGGTTCTAGTCACGTGATACTATTCATCATGGCGACCATTAGATGCCGGTGGTACGATCAAAAAACAAAAAGTAAAGAGAAAATAGAAAAGTTTATCGTAGGAGAGAATCGTGTACGGATTAAAATACGATCTAAATATATGTTTCAGATTAAAATTACCCTGCCGGGGAGTCTGTCGTTGGATGAAGTTGCATCGTTAGCTCGCCGAGCTTCCCAAAGGCAACTCCAGCCGCGGTGAAAATCTCACCGACCTACAAGTACATCAAAAAAGACATTCGATGAAATAAAAAAAACTCGATATTTTATATTTATTTTATTCCTTCAAAGAAACACTAAAGTAAGGAAAAATCAAATATTCTGTTTTAATTGATGACTAATGAAGGAAACGTAAACATAACCTTTTGTCCACTCACAGGCTCCATTGCTCTTGGCATAGCGAAAAGAAATAGAAGTAAGAAAGAGAGTGAGTGAGAGCGAGCGGAATGCACGTGACTGAAGAGCGGTAGAAAAAGGAAGAACGAGAGCGGTGGGGAGAGAACGGCTGCTAAGCACTATGTGGCGGGAAAGTGCCTAAAATCATCGACTATGAGCCCCTTTTCTTTCGCTTACCTTGCTCGCTGAGTTCATCTCACAAAGAGTTTGTTGTTGCACGCATACGCCTGACGCTTAGTGGAAAGGAAATAGCTCGTACGGTATTGCCATCTTGCGTCGTTCTCGCGATCTTTCCGTTAAACAATTGTAACTTTAATGCTCTTTTTGTCGAGCCACCAATACACCACCCTAAATGCACGTTCTCCTTCTTTTCTTAACTTCTTTCCTCAACTACAATATGTTTAGTAATAAACCATTAATTAGTTCTTTTTTTATTTATAGGATCATCTTGTATTCGAATTTTTACTTCTTTTGTTTTATTTATAAAAATGCATACAAAAATGAGTTACAGTTATACATGAAAGATAATTAATGGGATCGATGATCGTTATTTTTCGCGAAAATCATGATTTTCCTTTGCCAATCGTTGCTGAAAGTAACGATAACTTTTCGAAAATTGCATAGATTGGTCAAGATTAGTTCTATTTGTTCCGACATGTCACCCTTGCGTTCCAATTTCTTTATCAGAGGGAAGTCTTCCAAGTTGGCTAATCGCAGTCTCCTCGAAGCATTTCTGTAACACTTCCAAGGTTGTGGCTCGACAACGATCGTGTCGCAGATAGAGCAAGCTTTGCGAAAGAAATTGACTAATCCCTCGTCTCCGTGATTTAGGTGGATCCACATAGAGATGGAGAAACAAAAGACAACGTCGAAGTGGGTTCTTCCAAGTTTCCTGAGATACCTCGAGATGGTCGGGTCGCACTCGGAAGAAAGAAATTCACCGTACTCGAAGGTAATTCGATCTGGACGAGGATTACTTTGCTGCGATCTCTCGATGAGGATCGGATCGAGATCTATACCCAGCAGAAAGATGTCAGGTCTTTCTTCTTCGCAATTCGTTAAATTAACATTGAAAAAATCGTATAGCTTGTACGTCAGTTCCTATGTAACACGAGAAATATATTTTGTAGGCTCTGAAGAAGATAAAGGGGTAAAAGTTGATAAATGGAACTCATCTGTCGGTTTACTTATGAACGATTCGTTCCATCCTTTCCGACAGCTGCCCGCTCTTACCCCTGCGTTACAGCCAATGTCTAACCCCACATATTTCCGGTCCGAACGAACAGACTGCCAGACGTCTCGCGGAAGTTGCCGTACGCGTTCTTCCGCACTATGAAATTGGTAGTAATTCATAAAGTTCCCATATCTGCTCGCACCCGGATCCGCCTTTATTTTCATATTCTCCGTCTTCTCTTTTTCTTTCGGATCTTCCGACATATTTCGAGAAATCTTATAGAATTCTCACGAATTGCTATCTAAATGGAAAATATGTATCTTTAAATATTCTATTTTATTTGAACCGTTGCATCAAAGCTATTATAACTAATCGATAAGATGTTTATGTTTTAAAACGGTCGATAAGTATGCAATCTTTAACGCAATTACGAAGTATTGTGAAACTTTGAAGAGAAAAATTGATGTTAATCGTTAACGATTTGTTACGACTCTCGTGACACGCATGGACCACGTGCTTACGTATGCAGTGTATCTTCGGGAGCGAAATTTCGCCGTACTAGAAGTAATATTACTTATATCTATTCGACAAAGATACAATGAATGACGGCTGCGCTACGTTTACAGTTGGCTGGCTAAGTGTGCGTATCGTATTAGTTATATCTATATAGTAGTAATACTCACCACGTTGCTCAATTATTCTTTCAACCAACGGAAGACTGTGCTGCCCTACCAAACGAAACACTACTACAAATCCTTTCTCGCACAGCTGTTCTCGATACAAGAGTTTGAATTATTTGTATTTGAATTATTCAAATTACAGATTATTACAAAGTTGCGAACGATCGTAGTACTTTTCGATCTTTACTCAATTTTAAACACGCTCTTATAACTTTCCGATTGTACAACTTTTTATCATCATTTTAGTCGAAGAAATGTCCGATATTCTTCATTCATATTCCTCCGTATTCGAAAAGAATGTCATTTTTTAAAGTTGTAGGCAAAATGAGTCACATGGCAGGGAGGTCTTGGCAAGATTAACCGAGAAGTAGAGACGGTGCTGTCATCTCATGGAAACCACGAGAAATTGTTCCTATTATCAAAGAGAAACGTTCAATAATATTATTACATATGTATTATGAAATGTAGCTATTTAAGTGAACGTATATTTGTTTAGATAGATTTTTTTATTAATTTATATTGGATTTATTCAGCCCTAACACATAGAGATATGATTTATTTGACAAAGGAAAGAAAGAAGGAAGAAGTCATTTGGATAAAGATAAAAGATCGAAGGATAGGATCCAAGGAAGCAAGACTCAAACGAAGAGACGTCCGCGACCCAGATAAACGTTAGCCTTCGCGAACGTGGCTCGATCGCGAGCGAATCCGAGGAGAATCGTGTTGAGATACGATGCATTTGCGTTTCGCGAGAGAACTTTAGTCATTCTTTATCTTTGCCTTGTAATCTCCTTCGATCTATCGATAGATTCGTCTCTGATGTTTTTTACACTTATATGTAAGCAGCAGCATAATTTCTATGGATCGGTCAACAATGCCTATCGATCTCTCGAATTACACGAATTAACTTAGCGATATCAGATAGCACCGATATGACCCTGACTTCCTGTCAGAGAAAAGAAGAAAGAAGAAGAAAAACTGACGAAGAAAAGTATACCCGCGAAGGTCTCTAAATGACACACCTACAATTATGTAAAGCCCCCTACGCACTGCGTGTCGCAATAATTCGCAAACAATACGACGATAGATTTGAGTACGTTCCTCCTCTGTTTGCGAAACTCGACACGGTGTCGGTGCGATTCTCGTTGAGAAGAGAAAAGAAAGATTACACATTCAATTCGATATAGGAAAAGGATCGAGATTCTTAGGGACTCGTATAAGTATTTTGTTTCAATGGATAATTACGAAAATGGGAAGATAGTTGTCCCTGGAAATAGGCAAGCGTGTCTAGGTTTCGAAAGGTCAGGTAGAAAAAGGTAGAAAATAGGCAGGAAGGCCTTTTGGGTAGGGTCTGTGGAATGGTAGACGCAAGCCGGCAGGCCGGCCGGCAGGCAGGCGGGTAAAGGCAGGCGGGCAAAAGCAGGCGGGCAAAAGCAGGCGGGCAAAGGCAGGTGCAACTCGGCTATCTCTCGCGTTTGGAGAGCACAACTTGCGCATTCTCTTGGACTCTTCTCGCTGCAATTTCCTTTCTTTTTCTTTCATCTCGTTGTTCGCTCAAGAGCAGATGCGTCCGTGAACGAAGGCATGTGCGAAGCCACGTACTCCGAGATAACGATGGGAGGAAGATCGGCCGTGCTCCTACAATACCAACAAGTACAGAGAAAAAGATCCGAGTCGAGCCGAGCCGAGCCGAGTCGATCCGCCGAACATACAAATATTGAATTTTGTTCGGGTTCTCTCCTTCTTTTTTCAAAGAATCTCTCTTGCCAAATAGCTTTTAAAGCACGCGAGCTCGCGTATTGCCAAACGCACGAGCAAACCGGTTCCCCGCTGCTCTTTTGAAATATTTCCGAAGGAAAAAGGATAAGATTTTGTTTCTGACGCATCGATCGGATTAACCACGCTCGACTCGAACCGAAAATCTTACCGAAACTTTACAAATTGCTAATATTCGAGCGGTCATTTATGTTATGGCACTCATGCTACTTTAAAGATTCTATTTTGTAAAGTAAAGTCAGATCCGTATCAGAATGAATCTTTGTAAATTGTTACGCTAGATTACTAATCCCTCGCGTATTCTGGGAATACACGTTGTCCGTGAGATATCGAGCGATAGGAGACGAGGAAAGTCCAACCTATTGACCCCAATTTTCGCTGCGCTCGATGTCGAATAAAAGAGAAGATAAAAGAAAAGGATTGCGACACACGCACAAGTTTGCAATAATTGTACTAAAAAAAAAAAAAGAAAAAATCATGAAAAACGTCGAGTCTGTAATTGCATCGTATGGAGCAACGCGTTGTAAAGTAGTCTCTTGTGTTAGTCGACGTTGCTGCAATTCTAGAACTCCTCTCGTTAGATTCCTTAAAAGAAAAAAAAAAAAGAACAAACAAATTATTCAGATTCGAAAAATACTTGATTAGAAAATGTGGGAAAATGTCGAAATAAAGGGTAACACATCGATGATCGTCGGAAGGCCTCTATGATGCATAACTTCGTGAGTGGACGATTAGTCAGCATGAGTTGACATCATCCTCGATTCTCGCATCTACTATATATATGCAGTATCTATGTATGCACATCGAATAAAGGGTTGTTGAATGGCTTTTCGGGTACGCGTTGTTGGATTATTTGTAACGTTGCCGCGGACGATAAAATCGAAACTTGTATCTAGAAGATTGAAATTCTGAGACTAAAAGACGGAAGGATAAATATTTGATTATTTGTATAACCCCGCCCCGAGTAGGTCGACGGCACGAGGACAGCTGGAAGATCCTTTCTTCGAGAAGTAAGATTGAAGACGTCGATACTCGTGGTTACAATAATAGGTAAGTTGAAAATTTAAACTGCTGATACATAACTCCGGAAGTTGGTCGTAAAGCCGATTGGCGCATCCGGTCCATTGAATTCTCTATGTTTTCCAGAGGCATGGAAAATCCGCTTTTTCCGGAACGGGGCTTCACCGTCCCCCTGTCATTGGGTACGGACGAGGATCTTCCTTTGCCGACAAACGGACAACTGAAAACGACCTCACGAGCGACAACAAGAGAAACACAAAGAAAATTTCCGTCTTTCGTGGCTCGGCTAGGCTACATGCTGGGAGCAACCCTAACCACTATATGCGACGAAGAGAGCCCATGTATTGCTCCTCCTCGATTTGTTTCCTTCACTCATACCAACGCACCAACTGCCAGGCACGTGGATTCTATTCGACCCTTTTTCTCCGCTTTGCGAGTATTTCTGTCATTTTTTACTCTTATATTACTTCTCTATACATTCTATGTCGCATCGCAGAACAACGTGGATAATATTCGGACAGCGTGAATTTTGTCGAAATATGATTATATCGTAAATGTTTCTTTTCTTTAGACCTAGAGACGACTTAATCCTCGTTTAAATCCGCTTTTCCACGCTTAGCAGCATTTTCGGTCGTCCTTATAAATGGACCGCCCCTTAAAGGTTCTTCCTTCTTAAATAACCAGAGGATTAAAGTCAATTCGGCGTCTAAACGCGGTTACAATCGGCCGAGAATCGCAACGAATCGACAAACTAAAAAGTTTATTTATTTATTCGTTTTCATTCGACCGAGGATTAATAGAAACATCCATAAATAGGATTATTTGACATTAACCACGAGAAATGAATCACGCGATTATTATAAGATGCAATGAGACGTTTAAGAAAGATATTTCAGAAAGATATAGAAATAACATTTCATCTCGCTTCGTTTTTTTTCCTCGTTTGTAGAAGCATAAATTATCTCCTACCTATTTTTATTTTTTATTTCACAAATCTTGCCCAACGTACGTAGTAGACTTTTGACCATATTCGTCGAGAGAGAATTCGTTCTTGCGAAAATATATCTAAGAGTTGGTAAAGACAAACGAAATATAGAAGACCAAAGTAATCAACTGGTTTTCAAAGTTTTGCGTAGTAAAGAAGGATTCCGAAAATGATCGGTTCTTACGAATTCGTTGGACGAACCTCGTCGCATCTAGTCGATTCTAACGGAAGCCAATCTTGTAGCGGATGACGCGACTTCCGGGACGTGACCTTAGGAATTCCAATTTGTTCGTTGCTAGCTCGCTACTTCTTTCTCCTCTTTTTCTTCTCCTCTCCTTTTCATCATCTCCTTCCTCTTATCGTCGAAATCTGTGTTTGCTCAACCAGCCAGCCATTTACTATTTTCGTCATTGCCACTCACTGATCCGCGTCCTTCTTCGCGTTTTTTTTTATCGCCGAATGATCGTCCGAACGCTTTCAATTTCTTATTCTTCAAAAAGTAGACGCGATATGTATTTTTTAGGTTGCCTCCCTTTTTCTTTTTACATTCAATTTTTCTATCGGTATCAAAGTTAGTCACCGTTAAATAAATAAAGAAAAATAACAATGCGTTAATAAAACGTGAACGTTTTTCTAGACGCTCGACGAGACCGTCCACACGCGATAGGAATATATACCTGAATATATACCTACTTTGCATTATAATCAAACGATCGAGACGTACTCAAAGAACGACAGAGATTCTTTACGTTGCAACGAAGTTGAGAATAAAAGAAGAGAGTAGTTATTTATAAATCTAATTATAATTCAAACAAGAATAAATATATTTGCTACATTTATTTGGTCAAACGAATGCTCTTGGATGTCTTTGCTCGGATAATTAAATAACGATAAATTGAATAAGATATACTCTAGAATACAGATTAAATTATCTAATTAATCCATGCAAGTATCTATCGTAGTTAAAAGGTTCAAAATATATGATCTATGCACTGTCCTCTTCGAAATCTACCGTTGAAATGAGCTTTTGTTTTCTATGTAAATACTTTTATTAAATATTATTTATATGACTTTCCGAACGTTGTGCAGAACGTTATAATTTGAATTTCTATTTATTAGAAATAATATTTTCGTTAAGATGACAATGTGTCAGTCTTAGAGGAAATTCCGAAGAGGAAGGTACATCAAAAGATAAATCCATATTTTTAAATTACAATATACATTTTCTTCGATTAATTAACAATTATTTGAATACTCTAATGCACTTAACTTATATTATACGAGTTATTAGATGAAAATTTGCTCCTCGATGTTGTCCCTGCGCAGGAACGTTAAAAAGATCTGAAATATTAAGAGAGTACATTTATATATATGAAAAGTAATATACATAGTAAATAAAAGATATTTTCTGAATGATTTTCTAGCGAGGTCGTTTCGACTATATCGCATATATAGGGTAGATATACGGTACATCCGGCTGGTCGTCTCTAATTCGTTGCTAAAAAAGTCCCACGGTGGAGCAGGAAGAACCGCGCAAAACTGGATCGTTGAGAGACGACAGAGGAGGAAGACGTATTAATGCTCTCTCGACGAGGGGAAAGAATACGTTCTTGTCGGATGTCATTATCCTTTAAGAGTATTTGTCTCGTTTCGGATACATCGCGGACGTTACAGTAGAAATGGACGGATGGCAACTAGTCTGCACGAGTTTATTTAAGGAGTGCTGCTTGCCGCTCGCTGCTTGTGTGGCCGTCGGCTTCCCGCTTTCTTTACTGTCCATCTCTCCTTCCCACCATCTTATACAAATGATCTTAAATTATGACGAACCGACCTGTTAATACCTCTATATACAAATGTCGATCGAATTTATTATGTAGATAGAAGAAAAAGTGGGAGAGTTGATCATTCGATTATTAGCAATCGATAAAAATAACGAGCAAGAAAAATAAAAATATAGATCGAGGAGTTTCTCTTGGATCGACCTTCGAAACGTCGAGATGAATTTACGTATAAATGTATATAGAGTTGTGACTACGTACCGAGGGGTCGCTGAGTTTAACCGTGTAACTGGGTCATCGAAGCAAGGATACGTCACGAGATAGCACGATTTATCGTTGAACGTGTAATACTCGCGTATATAGATATCCTTTTTGATCGCTAAAGTATAATAGCTGAATAGGAAGAAGGAGTCTTTGGACCTTCGTTATTCGTCGCGAAAGGGTCCTTGGACTTAGCGAAATATCGATCCGCGACATTAGAAAAGCTCGTAGCGATTTGGCCTTGAAGTCAATGCTGGCAAGTCTATCTCGTGATCTTAGCTGGGCCAGCTCGACGTGTGTCTGGAGACTCGACCGAGGCGAAGGTTGAAGGAGGGGAGGAACATGGGAATTATTCCGATCGTGCTCGATCCTTCCAATGTGTAAACGTACTTATGTACGTATACTCATTGTTCATTGCGAAAGGGGATACAAGTACGTGCCTCTTAACAGAAAGCTCTTTTCTAAGGCTTACTTATTGTTAGACCTTTCGATTCATTCGTCGAGTGAATACGCATGCGGGACTTCGCATCATAGTCAGCAGTCATTAAGGATTAAGAAAGACGTCGTTATCGTCGGTTCTTGCACGTGTCATTAATCTGTACTCTAAGACAACAAAAAGTTACTTTTTTAATTACTAAACAGAAGAGATTAGATTTATAATTGTTTATTTTCTTTGACTTATTGGAAATTTGTATTTTTCAGAAAGAAACATAGATGCGTACTCTAATCATTGATATTCCTTTTGCAATCAAACGATACCTACAAATTTAGCTTTTGCATCCGTTCGCGGTCAGGAATTGGTTAATAAGTTTGGGAAAGAGTTGGTTGATTTCGAAACGTTCACGGTTCAAACAGGGGTGCGATGCTTTGAGTAAAGTTAGCGATCGATCGATCGATCGATCGATTATTGGCTCGTCTCTGTCTTTCTTGTAGAACTAAATGTCGTTGATACTTCCTAAGTCTCGATTACATCAATAGCGAAAGAAATTGCTTCTTTTTCCTTACACGTGCTCGTTGCAAGTCACGCTAGTTGCGTGTTACGTTATTGCGTTAATGCGAATACAATTTTGCAGCGACGTTCTAAAGTCTACTATGATACGACGCAAACTCGAATGTCGGTAAAAGGAAGTCTACTGGAAATAATCTTATCGTTCTTTCGTTTGATATACGACGCAATTAAAATGGATTTTTTACAAGACAGAGGCATCAAAGTTGTTGCTTGCTTTCGAAGAAGACAAAAGTTTCTCCGAGTTAGACAACACTTTAATATTTTGCATTTAATTAGATGTCTACTTAACGTTTCTTAGAATAAGATGTTATCATTGTTTTATACGATCGTCAAAACAAATGTTTCGCGAATATTAAAAATCCAAAATTTGATTGCCGACGTTATTTTTATCGTCATTTTCAGATAGACGTGCACGCATATTCGTTACACCTTGGCTCGGTGATTAGTGGTATAAAGATAAAGAACAGAGTCGTTCCACCGTAGGCTACTTCGAAATCGTATCGATTGTATTTTGCTATTTTTTTCAACAACAAGTTGACGCAATTACATAGTACGTAGTCATTAACGATAGCTGCTCCGGGGTGAGCGGGCAACCAAAGAGCACGTGCTTTTCTCTCCCTCTCTCTCTTTCTCGCAAGGCAAATATTTCTTACGATTTATGAATCACACACGTCCACGTAAAATCCGATTCTTCCTATGTATATGTATGTATATAGTAGTCCTTTCTAACGTTATGTTTTTAATCGATCTTTTCTTCAAATAGATTTTAAACGAATAAAGAATGACGCGCAAAATATTTCTTTTTACTAAGAATAAGATAATATCAAAAATACATGAATGGAAAAAATGTTGTATTAGTTGTACGTATTTACGTAGTCGAGTAATCTTAATCGATCGATTAGAAATACTTTTTGACGTCACACTCGTTACGTATCGATCGTGACGTTCAAAGTACTGTAATCGATAAAAAGAAATACGATAGTTTCGAAGGCCGAGGTAAGCTTTTCGTCAACATCCTAGTATTTATTTCGAAAAGGATGCTTGCATCCTGTCCAATTGTATTTCCGTGTATATACGTGCATATGTACATATATATATAAGCAGCAGCTCGAGCAGCTGGCAGCGCTTTACCGTCGAGAGAGAAACCGGACGAGGAAAAGGATGGTTCGGAGAATGAAGGGGAAGAGGGGAGACAGGAGCAAAACAGCCTCGACTTAAATTAACCGCAACCCCTCGGAAACGCGTGCGAGCTAGCTGTTATACAGGATACGCGCGTGGCACATTATTTTCAAACTTCGATCGATTTATCTTTTTGCATAAAATCCTTTATTTTGCTTTTTTTTTCCAATTATTTTTAAGGTGACACGCAGGCAGACAAAATATCAGCTTTGGCCCCGATTTTTG